ATCTCGAAACCCAGAAAAATCCAGTCCCAGAAAATCCTTAAACCCATAAAAAATCATTGAGTTCTTCTACAATGGCTTCTAACACTTTTATCACCAAGATTTTTGAGGAGTGTGCGAAGTGTAAAGACTTCATCGACCGAAACGCTATCAAGACCTTACGGTTTAAAGGTGATTCATTTGCTTCCTACCAGATATTAGGACCTATTTTCAAGGACATTGTCCCAAAGACCATTAATGAAATGCTCAAAGCTAATTGCTTGAAACCCTTGCTCCAGGGGTATGATTGGTCGAAGTAGGATTCGGCTAGGCCTCAAGGAGTTTGGCCCTTAACCACTACATCTTGGGTAGCTTCGATCGAACGAATGGAGAAGTTATTCAGCACAGAGTGGAACTCTTAGCATTTATGATGCTATTAAGCTCTCGAAAATTAAGATTGCTATGGACCGGGAGCTTCTCACAGCAGCCCTGAGTTTTTGGTGCTCGGCTACCAACACAATGGTACTCCTTCTCGGCCCTATTGGCCCGACCGTGCTCAACATATCGGTCATCTTTGGCACTTCTCCATCTGGTCTTCCAGTTGATGTCGTCCTTCTGGGTATCAATTCAACTTAGACCTTAAAGCATTATTTGAAGAACATGCCATCGAAGCCCTAAAGAAGAAAGACCAAGAAGCCCCAAAAGAAGAAGTCCAGAAGCTGCACAAGAACTTCTTTAACTATAACACTCTCATCCACCACTTTGCTGGCCGAAGGGAAGAAGACCTTCAAAGGGGGAACACAAAGCCTTCTTATTCTACTGGTACAACAAATTTATTGTTTGTACCATGTCAAATAAATGTTTGATAAAAAACATGCTAGTGGCCGAGGCCTTGGCTAGTGGTCACACCCTAGCTCTTAGCTCGGCCATCCTTGCCAACCTCACGCGTTACTTGGCTGAAACGACCATCACCAAAATTGACCCGCACCAGAACGACCTACTTTGGGTTTTCCAGTTCTGGTTGTAAGTTTACTTCGCCACCCTGAGGCCAAAAATCCCTAGCTTTAAGACCACTGAAGCGCTATGTCTCCAATTGGCTTCCAGACCAGCTTCTCCACACTTTGCCGAAAAAATCTTTAAATACTTTTTCGACCTAGAAGATCTCTCTGACGATGAGTTCCTAATCTACCGTCGTCAAGAGTACCCCTCTTCCATCAAACTTTCATCCTCAGTATGGGATGAGATCGAAGACACAGATCTTCGACAAAACTAGGGGGCGTTCGTGCTAGTTCGCGACTTTCCCCTCGGCTGCTATGCTCGACGCACAAGTTAGGAAGTCTACCACCCCCACTTTACTGCTCGGCAACTTGGCTACCTCCAAGGATGCCCTGTGCCTCTACTTACTTTCCAATCTATTCTAAGTCGAGGACGTCTCTCTGGTTCGTCGGAAAAAAGAGTGTAGAGAGGCCAAGTGAAATTTCAAGAAAGGTGCACAAAACTCCGCCTTCGGTCGAACGTCCTTGAAACTCACAACACTGACACTTTTGATGAATGGTGGGATGCATATGTCCAAGAATTCTTTAGCACACCGGTCGAGGATGTTGTCAAAAAGATCTTTGACGACCATCCAAAGAAAGCCCTGCCCCAAAATCCAAAGAAGCAACCCAAGGTATGCATCCTTTATTTATTTTCATCATAACTTGAGTCTATTTTCAGTGAGTCATCCAACAAAATAGGCTAACAAGGCCGCGACGGTTACAACCAAAAAGAAACCCGCTCCTCCAAAGAAGACTGCAACTGTTCAAGCTCCTGCAGCATCTCCTACTCTAGTGGCGGCCACTATTGTGCCAGTCACACCGAACAAACAACCTTGCCCTGAGGGAGAAACGACTGGAAATGTTGCCCCGCCCCAAAAACGTATTAAAAAGAAAGCAAAGAAGGGTGAACGAGAGATTCTAGTGATCTCGAGTCAGAATACAGGGGCAATTACTCCTAGCATTTCCCTCTCTCCTCCTGTTGTTGAGGCCACGGTAAGGGACTGCAAAATCCTCCAATGGCTCAGGCAACTGAAGTGCAACCCACTATCCTAGCCGTGATCTAACCAATCGTTGCCCCATTGGTCGAGGTACCTATCACTCCAAAGCTGGTTGTTACTCCTGCTATTGGTTTAGTAACTGCTGCCATTGGGAAAGCGGCCACTATGGCCGAGAAAAACCCTCCCCTAAATCCAAAAAAGAAAACAATAATCGTCGTGGAGGAAGAGGTACGACCATTTTGTTAGCAATTATCCTTCTCTACTTAACTGGATCTCCTGACTAATGAATAACCTTTCTCTGTCTAGGAGGGCGAGAGTGAAGAGCCTTTGTTAATGAAGTGCCCTCAATCGGCCGAGCGACCACCCACCATTCCTCAGCCGATGGTTGAAACGGTTGGCGAAGTCAACCCTCTTGCTATTGAAGTGAACGAGGGGCATGAAGTAATGCCTGCTGTCAAGATAGAAGCGACGGCAGAAACACCGATTCATTCCCAATATCAGAATCTCGGCATTCTTCCACATGAGGTTACTTCGGCCTTCGTAAGAACCTTTCTTATCCTTCTATTAACTTTTTGCTTTAGAATTCTAAACCAAAAATTTATTAAATGTTAGGTGCCCAATTACTCGTTTCATCGAAAATTCTATGTTGAAGGGTGTTATCTATATTTCTGGCCACCTCAGTGGCCGTCGAACGTAGATAACCTTCATCGGCGTGGGAATTGAGAAGCAATCTTAAACACTGGACTTAACCATTAAGCTCTCTAAGTTTGCGCAATGAGCCAGGGGACATGGCCGAAGTCTTATTTCGGCAGGTTTAAAACAAATTCCTTCTGTTATCTTTTTACGATTTTCCTTTTTTTCTAAAATCTTTTCATGTGCAGCCTTCATGAGAAGTCGAGCTAGATGCTCTCTTCTCAAGTACCTCTGGAGTGGCCGGGCCATCTGCCACGTTGGCTGAGCTTTCCGTAACTGTGGTCGAATCCAATGTCTTCACCCAGTTACAGGGACTCTTATCCTTTTGGCCTCGCAAATCTTTCAATGTAAAGGCCTCGACTTTATGGGAGAGTGCCTGAACGATCTTGTAGCCGGTGGCTTACTGAGCACCGAAAGTTTCACCCACCTGTCCAACCTCTTGGAGCGGAGCTGGCACTATTTTACAACTTTTGAAAAGGCTCTTCAGGCCAAGGACAACCTAAAGGCTGCAAAGACTGCTCATGAAACTGGTCAACCGGAAATTGAGGCCATAAAAACAAAGAAAACGTGGCTAGCTGACCTTGATCATCAAATTGCCGAACTTCAACAGTAAAGGTGGGCCATTGTTTCAGACCCTGAAAAGAATTTTGAAGCGAATAAGGCTAGACTAATAGACTTCGTGGCTAGCACAAGTTAGATACATCAACTTTAGCTCGATAGAAGAACAAGGCAAGTTGAAGTCACAATAGGTGAAGTAAGGTGGTTGGAACTAAAGGCCGCTCTTGAAGCCTTCATTCCTTCGACCCCTTAGGATTTTAGCTTTTAAGAATCTTTTGTAACTTGTATGCCCTTTTGGAAAATTAATGAAATGAACTTTTATTCTCGTATCTCCCAAGTGACTGGATAATACTTCTTTAAAAACTTCCCATTAATTGGTTGTTTATGAATTAGACCGGTTCAGTCTTTAAGATGGTATGCCCTACTGCCGAGAACTTTGTGAACGACAAACAGTCCTTCCCAATTTGGCGACCATTTTCCGAATCTAGGATCTTTGATTCCTACGGGCAGCACAGTTTGCCAAACCAACTCTCCCTCTCCGAATGTTTTTTGTCTGACTCGTTGATTATAGGCTCGCTCGGTAATTTTCTTCTGTGCCACTATAAATTATAAGTGTCAAGCCGAATTTCTTCCAATTCTTCTAACTCTTGTCTTATGGCCTGATTGTACTTAGCTCGACCGGTAACATCACGTCATGTCCATAGGTTAACGCGTATAAAGTCGCTCCAGTGGCTAATTGGAATGAAGTTCAATAAGCCCATAACGCTTTGTTTAACTTTAAATGACATATATTGGGCATTTCTTTTTCCATTTTTTTTAGAATACCGATCAAAACCTTATTCCTTGCTTTGGCATGTCAATTTGCATGTGGGTAATATGGCGTTGATTGCTCGAGTCGAATTTTTAGACTTGCCATATACTCCTTAAACCTGTCGGATGTAAAGATCGTACCATTATCTGTTATGATTGGTTCTGGTATGCCGAATTTGGTTACGATATTTTCTTCCACAAAATTACAAACCTTTTTAGACGTTAACTCGGTGTATAACTTTGCTTCGACCCATTTGGCGAAGTAGTCTATTGCGACAAGTATCTATGCATGCTTAGCTGATTCGAAAGACGATGTAATTTTACCAATTACGTTCGTGGCCTATCCTCTGAATGGCCAGGGTTTGGTGACCGAGTGAAATATCTCTGCCGAGGCTTGTTGTATAGGCCCATGAATTTGACATTCTACACATCGTTATACGCACTCGATACAATCTTTCAATATACTCAGCCAGAAATAACCTTGTCGTCAAAACAGCCAATGCATTTTGCGCCCAGATTGATAAGCCCCATAAATTCCTTCATGTACTTCTACAATTGCTTGGGCAGCCTCTCGCGGGCCGAGGCATAATAATAATAAACCATCCTCACCTTTTCAGCACAACTCGCTCTGATACAACACATAATATGTGGCATAGACCCTTGTCCTGCGATCGTGTTTGTCACTAGGATTATCAAGATATCGCATGATTGACCTTCTCCAGTTATCTGGCATTGCCTCGACTGCGCAGACCTCTATATGGCCTTTCCGCTCCAACAATGAAGGTAAGGACATGACTTGTGTACGGATTACACGATCACGTTAGAGAACTTGCTGATTAACCAAGGCTAGGTATGCTCATCATAACACATGTATTTCTCAGCCTAGTTTGCCCTCTAAGAATTGTGCTTCGGAGGCTATTTGAGCTAATTAGTTTGCGTCAGTGTTTCGAACTCGTGAAATGTGTTTGAAAGTAACACCGTTGAAAGACTCGGCCAAATAGCTGGCAACCATGCGATAAGGTGGCAGAGTGCAACTCATGCAACGAAAAGTCCCATTAAGTTGGTTTATCACAAGTTCGGAATCACCGACAATAAGGACACGAGTTACCCGTAAATCATGTAGGACACCAAGGCCGATGATAAGAGCTTCGTATTCGACCTGATTATTCGTACAATCAAAATCGAACTTGAGAAAAAAGTACCAGCGGCTGTGATTTGGGGATTGAATAACGATCCCAACACCAGCTGAGACTAAAGTACTAGAGCCATCAAAGTACATCATCCAGTAATTATCACGTATTTCCACCATGCTAATTTCAACGTCATTGCCCCCAAAACCATATAGTGAGGGATGTTGGGCCAAGAAATCGACCAACGCTTGGCCTTTGACAGCTTTCTGGGGCACATATGGCAAACTGAATTCAGACAGTGCCATTGTCCATTTTCGATTCGGCCTTTTACTAGCGGCCAAGTGAGCATGTAACGAATGACATCGGTCTGGGCGATGACCTGAGTGACCAATGAGAGCATGTAATGCTTGAGTTTTGATGCAGTGAAAAATAAGGCTAGGCAGAGCTTCTCAACGGTAGAATAATTAATCTCCAGTAGCTTAAGATTTTGGCTAAGATAAAAAATGGCCTATTCTCGGCCAGCATCATTGTTTTGCGCAAGAAGGCATCCGATGGATTCTTTGGCCGCTAAGATGTACAACTTGAGAGGTCTGCCACGTCATGATGGGACCAGGACGAGGGGAGTCGTAAGGGAGACCTTGATCTGTGTAAACGCCTCTTGGTGTTCTGCACACCATTCAAAGAGGTCAAAATCCTTAAGTTTCAAGAGTGTGGAGAAGGATTTCATTTTTCCATCGAATTGGCAATGAATCGACGGAGAAGGTTAATCTTGCCGAGCAACGACTATAGTTGTTTCTTTGTCGTCGAGGGTAGAGCATTGATGATTGCTTAAGCCTTATTTTCATCTACCTCAATACCACGATGATGTACAAGGAATCCTAAAAACTTGCTAGATGATACACCGAAAGCACATTTAGCAGGATTCATTTTAAGGTTGTGTTGGCACATACGTAGGAAAGCCTGATGGAGATCATCCAAATGTGTCTGCTGATGTTGTGATTTGATTACAACATCGTCAATGTAGACTTCGATGGTGGTACTAATCAAATCATGGAAAATAGTATTCATGGCTCGTTGGTATGTGGCACTGGCATTCTTGAGGCCGAATGGCATGACGACCCTTTCGTATGGGCCGAGTGCCCCCAAGCAACGAAAAGCAATCTTATGGACATCAGCCTCGATGATGAAAATCTGGTTATAACCAGCATGTCCATCCATAAAGGATAAGATCTCATGGTTTGCTGCTGCATCGATTAACAAATCTGAAATTGGCATTGGATATTCATCTTTAGGAGTTGCCAGGTTCAAATTTCGAAAATCAATGCAGATACGCAAGGCACCATTTTTCTTTAAAATTGGGACAATGTTTGCTTACCATTCGATGTATCGAGCTGTCCGAATAAACCCAGCTTTTAAAAGTCGAACGAGTTCGTCTTTTATGCCGAGTTGTACTTTGGTTGAGAAATGTCGAGGTGGTTAGCAGAATGGTTTACACCCAGGTTTGATGTGTAATTCATGTTCGACTAGTGTTTGATCCAAACCAAGCATTTTATGGTAGTTCCAAGCAAAACAATCCTTAAATTCTTTGAGCAAATTACAAAGCTTGGTTTTTACATGTTGGGGTAACAAAGCACTAACGAACAAAGGTCGTGGGTCTTTGGCCGTTCCAACATTTATTTCCTTTAAAGGATTTTTGACTTGAGGTTGACTATCCTCGAGCTCAGCTGGTGCAGCCTGAACTTTGTCTAGGGAAAGTACTGGGTCGTTGTCTCATTCGGCCAAAAATTTGACCAAGTTTACGCCCGAATTTGGTTGCTTGGAAATTACATACCAATGGGCTAGCAATCGTTCCATGGTAGATGAAACCGCAGCCCGGCGTCTGTCCTGGCTATCTTTAGACATCAGTGTCTGCGATCAAATCGGCCAATCCAAGTCTTGTCGAATCCTGATAGACAGTCTCGACGCCTACCTTGATTGTTTTCTGGACTGAAATTCTAGTCGGTCCGTCCTTCCGCGTTCAAACCTTGTAGAGTAATATAGTCACCTTGATCATCGTAATACTGCGCCTGAATCATATTGGCTTCAAACGACTGATTGTCGGTCGGATGAACCACAACTGTTTTACCGTCCCAAAAGATGAGAACCTGATATAATGAAGAAGGAATGCAAAAAACTATGACAAGAAACTTCAAACGTGACTCAATCGATCCTTTCACAACTTATTAGAAAGTAAACCTAGGTCATTGTGACGATATGAAATGCTAAATAAACCACATGTTTAAAATAACATTAGCTAAGCAATTAATGTGCACGTGTCACATAATTATCGTGGTTGGTTACTTGTAATCGGATGCACGATTGTTAGATATAAGATAAACTACATCATTTAGGTGATTAGATACCTAATTTTCATGTGATAGATAACTAATTTTAAAGTGAGATACACATTTTTCGACAAATTAATGAATAATATGTCAAGAATAGAAATGGTACTCATACCTTACATAATTATTCATGATAAGTAAATAGTACTTTCAATTTTAGTGTTCACCCTAAAAAATGTATCTATCACTAATTTTACTAATTGAATATCCAAAGATACTAGCAACATTTGCATTTAGACTTTTTCACTTTTTTCATGACACGTGTCATTTTTTTACACAAAAACAGAACTTATGTCTTTGAAATTACCTTTTCTATTCTTCATTATTAATTCCTATCCAAAAGCATTAACGATCTTGTTTTTTGTATAAAAACATGACATGCGTCATTTAAAGAAGTGAAAAAAATCTAAATACAAAAATTAGTGCAAAGATTTCTAGCACTCTCCTTGAATATTACCGGTTAGTGGGTTAAGTCTCATAATAGGCTTGTTATAATAAAGTGGTTCAAATTTGTTTATGACGAGAATCAAACTTAAACTCTCTCACTTACAAATAAAGAAGAATATTACTAGATTATATCACTAACTATCAATATTGTAAGTTGTAATTGACCTCTAAGATTTTGCTTGGTCTGGACCAATGAATAGAGGCCCGACTAAGAAAAGCCCTTCTCAATTTGCAATCTGTAGATTATAAATTGATGAGGCAGACTGACACTTCCATGTGGCATTAACAAGTGCGAACGGCATCGAAAAATATCAGCCACATTTGACTACCGTACATTGTATGCATACTTTAATGCTTATGATCCTACACATTCATTTCTTTGTAATTTCCCACCAATGTAAACTTGTTGACTGTACTCCCCTTTCAATTCTTGGAGTTGGACTGTTGGAGCACCCCCAATTTGAATCATCAAATTTGGTCATTATACGTTTTGAATTTCGAAGAGACAGGTCATCAGCCCGTTACGGTGCTACAAACTATATTAATATCATCTTTCAACTTGCATCTTGTCAAATTTCTTACAAAAAATGCGCGAGAATGTTATTATGATTAAAAGTAGAATCACTTAATATAAATTATAAATTATATTTAATTTTATAAACTTTCTGACGTGGGAATCTTGTATTGTGTTCTCCAACGTCAAAGTACCTATTTTTTTCTTGCAGACAAACAACCATTTGCATACGCATATTTTTTAATGAGTTAGTTTTGCATGTGTTAGATTATGATTCATGCGTATAAAAAAATATGCGTTGAAATGTAAAGTGTTTTTCCTATAACCAGGCCACCCAATTCATTCATAATATTATAATTTAATTTAATAATGTGAATACAGAGGAATTTCTCAACCCTAATTCTTCTAACACGTCTAAATAAGCATGAAATTATGAACCTACAGGTCAAGTTGAATATTATGAAGAGGATTCTCTTCCCTTTTTTTTTTTTTTTTTTTTTCCCTCCTCCTTCATCCTCTCCTATTTGAACGGTTATAGGTTAAGTTACGTCAACATCTTATATTAATTTTTTATAGAAAGAGAAAGACAAAATAAGAGAATGTGAAAGGAAGGAATGAAAAGGGATAAAAAGAAAAGAGGAGAGAATCCTAATCCGAATATTAGTTACTTCTATCCCTACCTCTCCTACGATAAATTATTGACCTCAAAGTTTCATCTATGAACCCTAAACTTTTACTTCATTTGCCAAATAGTTATCCTCCCTTTGGACGAGAATAATAAACTTGATAATTTTGTATTCGAACAAAAGTCAAAATTTCTTTTTTTTTTTTTCTTTGGTCCAACTATAGATTTTGTTAGATCACCAATACGGTTCGAACCCACACCGTTATGTAATGACTCAACTCATTTCCACCGCTGTGGTAAAGGACCACTTGCATCAAAATTTCTAAATTGATAAGCATACAAATTCCTGTATTTGAATTACTAAACATAAAAAAAAAATAAAAATAATAGTTTACCAAAAATAAAAAAAATTAAAAATTGTGTTTTTTTATTTGTCAAATAATAGAATTTGTTAGATCAAATGTTAAATTAGTCACCAACGTGGTTCGAACCCACGCCGTCATGCAAGTACTCAACACCTTTCCAGCATTATAGTAAAGGGCCAACCGGTGATACTTCAAATTCCATCTAATTAATTGTCATTTCTAAAGTTCCATAAAAGTAAGAGAACCCAATCATAGATGCCACTGCTGCCACCACCCCTTCCCCACTTACACGCCCATCACCATTGTTGTCACCACAATCATCCCAGAGGCGTTAGAGTGTGCAAAAGGTGTAGTTACACAGGGCCTCAAATTTATGAGGTCCCCAAAATGTTTCATCCTATTACATATGAATATAAATTTTCTAAAAAAAATTTTGATTGAAAAGGAAAAACATCATCATATGATTTTATCTATATTACAATTGATTAAGTAAGGGCTATACTTAATATATTAATTTTCTACTTTTCTCCAGCAATAGAAAATCTTGTGTATTACTCTCTTTCAAATTTTTCTAGCAATAAAAAACTAACTTGCGTATTACTTTCTTCCACAAACACAAGTGTACTTATGTATCTCTCTTTCAATCGTGCTCTTTTTTTCATGGCAATGAGAGATTATTCCATTAATAAGAGTGAAATGTTGATTTCAATTAAGTTTGAATATTGATTGTTGAATTTTATATGAATATGATGTAAAAAAAATAATTATTTTAAATAAAAAGGATCTTTTAATTAAATTTGCACATAGTCCCCAAAATGTCAGAGACGGCGTTGAATCATCCCTATTACAATCTTCAGCACCACCATCACCGTCACCGTCACCATGCCATGAAAAAGACCGCCACCACCATTCCATTGTCATTATACCTATATATATATATATATATATTTTTTTTTTAGTATAGGTATCA